TATCCTATCCGTCCATTCGGGCCCCGAATCCGGCTTCGGGCCCCAAATCCGGTTTCGGGCACCGAATCCGTTTTCGGGCCCCGAATCCACTTTCGGGCCAGTCAAGGACACCTCATCATACCTCAATTGTATTTCATTGTGCTTCCTACTGTTACCTTTTACCTTGCTTACCTTTTAGTATCCTATCCTCTTAGTTTCCTCCGCTTCTCCATTCGGGCTCCGAATCCGCTTTCGGGCCCCGAATCCGGTTTCGGAGCCCCAATCCATAGTCAAGGCAACCTCATCATACCTCAAGTCTATTCAATTGTGGTTCCTTCTCTCAACTTCCTAACCTTCTAGTATTCTATTCTCTTAGTTTCCTCCTATTCTCCATTCGGGCCCCGAACCCGAATGCGGTTTCAGGGCCCGAATCGACAGTCAAGGAAACCTCATCATACCTCAAGTCTATTTCATTGTGCTTCCTACTGTTACCTTTTGCCTTGCTAACCTTTTAGTATCCTATCCTCTTAGTTTACCTTGCTAACCTGAAGAAAAAGTGTTGCATTTTGCGCTTAAGCTGTTGGGGATATTCTTTGGGCTTATTTCAACATTTCTTGCAATATGCCTCAATGTCTTTCGGCTCTGGCATTCTGCCATGATGCTTCTGGTGGAATCATGCGTGGTTTTATGTTTTGTTTCTGAAGGAAGTTCAGGAACTCTTCATTGCAGAATTCACCTGCGGAGTCCAAACACAGAAGGCCTGGTGGCCCACCCGAGCTGATCCACCCCAGCATCAGGGCTCGCAACGCCCTCTCTGTGGTTGGAGCAGGAGAACAAATGGCAGTTTGAAATGTCGTGCTGTGATCAACGAAGTGGCAAAATTGAAGAAGCTTTCCATGTTTGTTTGTTCATTTCACTCCATCCAACGTCCATCGAGACTACATCTTTCAATGCATGCTGAACAGCGAAGATCAGGCATAGCCTCAATAATGCGCGGTGCACGTGTCTCACTGCGTCCACCATGGGCCCTTGCTGAATGACTGACGGTCCAAACAATTGCTTAGATGTTGTCAGTACTACATGTTGTTGTTTTACGGGCCCTGACTTTGTAGATTCCGAAGATCACCCACGGTGCTCAGATCGAAACGGCGCAAGCTGGCTCAGGCGGACAAAACTTGGGTTCCTCAGCATCTTGGATCCATCCGGTTGCTCAATATGACAGTGCGAATTCTGTGCATACTGGTGTTCGAACAAAGCTTGAGTCAATGCACTTCGCCACAGGTGGTTTCGTTGTTGTTCCGAATCTGCAAGAGACTTGTTCATGTCCAGACTGGTCCACTTACACCAAGGCTTGCATTCAGGACTCACCCAAATGTGTTCTGGTTTCTCATACACTACATGTGCAAATAGTTTTCTCCGGTGACAGACGCACTGAGACCTCCTTGATCAAGGCCGAAACGAAACGTCTTGACGCCATGCATCTTGCTCTGGCGAACGATCTCACTCTGGGCCACTGAGCAGAATACTTCAAACATGAAACAAACTTGCTTACTGGTTTTCTTAACCACGGCTTTGGCTTCTTGCCGTTCGGTTCGAAACTATTGGCGCACCAGTCGATTGAACGTGGCTTTTATGCCAACATGGTGTAGTCCAAAAAAATCAGCGGTGATCTTCAAGGTTTCTGACTCGCTTTGAGAGTTCATTCGGATTCTCGGGTGATGGAGTTGGTAGGGTCTGAAGGGCCTGTTCGACGGAGGTCATGCATCCCTGCAGTTCTGAGATCTCTTCGGTCTGAACCATCTGCTGCATTGTGGAGTCCATCACTGGGATCTCGGGCGCGTAGGTCGGATAGGCCACTTCGTTGGAATTGGCCCCTGGGATTCATTCCATCGATGTGTGACGGAGTGAGTTTCGCTCCTCGACTCAGGCGCTCCAGTTGCTGAACCTTCAGTTGGACATAGCGCACATACATGCATTGCTCCTGATGGGTGAGTCCTCGAATCGGCCCACCACGAATCTTGTCCACTGATTGTCCTCGAATGCTTGATGGACCTGGAACTTCCACCCCATCTTGGTTTTGCCAAACATGATCACTTGGTTCTCGAGGTCCTGGAGGGTCATCTCCTCGATTTCGGCTTGCGCTTCTGCTTCGGTTTGCTTCTGGAGATGGAGGAGCTGGGCCGACAGCGCTGACATGATCGACCTTCAACGCTTGGTCAGTGCACGGTGGACTCAACGAAACGCTTGAGCTCGAAGTCTGAGTTTCGGTGTGGTTCATCTGCGATTCAGTGCACTTGACTGACTTGACGGGCCCTCACACGGTTCGAGACGGTCGATTCGAACCGATTCGGACCACGCTTCAAATGCACATTCCCTTGACTGAGCTGACTCGGCGTCTTTTACACAGACAGATGTCTGCATCGGTGGCGTTTGGTGGAGAATGCCGTGGATAGCGAAAGCCTGTTCAGGAGTCTTTTCCTCCTGTGATTGATCACCTCCCATAGCTGGTTAATGTCTAGCAGAAACAGTTTCTTGGCAGACTGAGTCATTTCTAGATTCCGATTGATTTTCTTGGGCCATAAAGTACCCTTCTCAGTGTCTATTACTGCTTTGATCTGCTTATTTTTGCAGGAAAGGTGTTACACAATGGCTATGCGAATCCATGTTCCGGCCAGTCGCAAAAGAAGTGCGACCCTGCTGGGCAATGTCTGATGGTTGGTCTTTCGAACCTGCTTCTGAATCTCAACTGGCAAATTGTGTAGCAATTCGGGAACCTGTTCGTTTCCTATCACCGTCTGAGATGATGATGCAAACAGGCTCGGACTGACCTCGGTTTGGTCGGGAGAATCCTGCACAGGCGGCGTGGTGACAGATGTCACTGCTGACGAGCGATTTTTCGCTGTTCAAGTTCATCCTGTCAGGGGCAACAACTTTCGCTCGAAGTTTGGTTTTGAACGTTTGTTCGAAGTATTTGATTCTTTGTTCAACAAGTAACAAGCCCCAAAACAACATTCACGGGTGTCCTTAGTGGTAGATTCGTTATGGGTGATTTCAGGCGCTTGGCTCAAGTCGAATGCCAGGGTGGCTGATGTCGGCTATTGCATTCTTCTCGGTGTTTGAGCCATCGTCGGGCTTCTTCGACGGACACTCGACCTTCCAGTGGCGTCTCTCACCACAGAGCCAGCAGCGTTGCTGCAGGCTTTTGAATCCACGATTGGCCTTGAAGGCCCTGCCCTTTCCGTGAGGTCTCGTCTTGACGCTCCACGATCTGGTACTTCTTCTCAAGGTCAATTTGACCAAACTGTCCAGCCACTATCTCAATGATCTTTTCGGCGCCGCTTGTGTAACCAGTGAACACCTCCTGTTGACGCAACTCCAATTTCTGAAAAGCAGAGCGCTTGGTGTTGAGCGCGACCCTCGTCGCAAGTTCCTTCACACGATTTTCCGGCCAAGCTTGTAACAGCAGACGGACCTTCTGCGCCCATTGCTCAACAGAGCCCTGTCCAGGTTCACAGCTTGGAGTCTCTCCGGAGGCCGGTGCACCTTGCATTGTATCCAAGTCGAACCGGGCTCCGCGACCAATCTCAAAAGACTGGTAGCTTCACAGCCCTGCTGTGTCCTTCAAAGTAAACGTCACCCGTGCAGTCCTCTCCAATGTTCAACTAAAGTGAAATCCACTTGATTGTTCACAATGTCCAACCACATGTTCCACAGGCCCCAAGGGTAGCGCTTTTTACCTCACCATGGCTCGAGCGCGTCCTCACCGCGCCCACTTCGGTGGTTGGGCGCGAACAGATTCCGGTGGAATCATGGCACGCGAGTCAACATGCGACCTGGTTGCTCTTTCGACAACTAGTTGCATATTGTGTATTATATGTAGAATATCCAGCTTCACATGCTCTTAAATTTGACTCTGATGCACTTCAGTGTGATCTAATGATTTACTTTCCATCCCCTCAATTGTTTACTGCAGGGGCGCTCCGCTGTGGATAAAGTTTGGTTGTAACACACACCTGCACTCTCTCAGCTGCATCAGGCCAATCCCTGCTAAACCGAGTATAGGACGCTCCAGCTGCCCCAACCATTGTCCAAGTTACGAAATCAGAAGTAATGGTTTGAATCCTTGGTGCAACTCTACCCACTTCCGCAGCTTGATACTACCCTCTACTTGAGCGGCTTTGAGAGATTCAAGGGTTTGCTTCAATGAGGCCCTCTGGGGTGAGCGTTCGGAGCTTACACATGATCGTTTGCATCCCAAGCCTCCAAAGCACTTTTGGGAGTGAGCAGACGCTAACTCCAGGTAGATAGGCAGGGCGAGGCAGAGACTAGCAAAGCTGATGCAACAGCCCCAGTTCTAGTTCATTCTTCGGCACATTCACTGGACTGACATCAACTGATGCTTCATTCGTGGAAGCAATGATTTGTTGGTGAAAGGATGATGGAAAGCGCAGCAAAAAGAAAAAGCAGCCGAAGCAGAAGCAGGCTTTGGGCTCATCATTGACTTGAGTTGCAGCTGTTGGACAGGTTTTTCACCAGCAACTTCCAGTTGTATATTGAGCCTCTCACATATGCATTGCCCAGCAGTTGCCAGGTGCTCGTAATGAGAGGCTAAGAGAAATCACCAGAACCATTTCATCACGTGTAAAGCGTGAAAAGGTGAATTGATGCATGAGCTCAATGCTTTGGTCATGTGAGCTCCATCAAGAGAGCAGAACTCAGAGACCCGCCAAAGACAAGCGGAGTTAGCCAGGCGCTTAGAGGGCTGGGCAGCGTTTATTTGTTGCCCACCTGCCAAAAGGGCTATCATTATTCACTCCTTGCCCTGGCGATTCGCCATTGCTCTTTGAAAATTGAAAACAGCAAACCATTTCCAGCGCTGCCAGTTCCAGGCTCAAGACATGAGTTTGCTTACCATGAGTTTGCTTACCAGCTTGTTGGGAGCTGTCTGCAGTTTGGTCAGCAGTAAACAGGCCACACAGCCCTACGTATTGTGCCAACCAAGGTTGAAAGACGGTGTCACTGAAATAGCTGTGCATCGCTTGAATGGCTATCAGACACATTGGCGATGGCAACGTTTGCCGGTGCATTTGCGGCGATTTCCCACAGGAAGCGTGACATTTGTCTTTAAGTGTTATCCCGGTAAGAGTGTGTCAAAAGGTCTAAGGTCTAGCCTAAGGTCTAGCCGAAGGTCTAGAGATCAAGACGCATTGGGGTGCAGAGAGAGGTGGAGAGGTGAAGGAGCTGGTGATCGTGGTGATGGTGGCCGTGATGTTAGTGATGGTGATGGTAGTGATGGAGGCGGTGATGATGGTGAGGATGGTGGAGTGGTGAAGGTGGCGGTGGCGATGGTGGTGGAGATGGTGATGTTGATGGTGGTCATGATGGTGGTGATGGCGGTGGTGCTGATGGTGGTGGTGGTGATGGTATTGGTGATGGTGGTGGTGGTGGCAATGGTGGTGATGGTGGCAGTGGTGATGGTGGCGATGGTGATGGCGGCGATGGCGGTGATGATGGTGATGGTGGGTGACGGTGATGACGATGGCGGTGACGGTGGTGATGGTGGTGGTGGTGGTATGAAAGTTAAAACTCTCGTGAACTGTTCCCCAAAAAGAACGTGAACCTTGAAAAAAATTGAATGAGACCTCAAACCTATCGCGAACCCTCGGACGCGATCGTCCGATTCGCCCACCGCCCCGGCGCCCGCGCGCGTTTTTCTCGCACGGACTTGAGCCAATGAGCCAATGACGAACGGATTTGAGGCCCCCAACTAGGGTTGGCTGCACTCAATGGGTTCTTACGAACGCGCACTGTAAGCTAAAGGATGCCGACAGCTTGGGCTGACTGCACCCTTAAATCACAGCTCTGGCGATTGTTGAGTTCGTCATGGCAAGGCTCGGCTTCGACGAACTTGGTACACGTTCTCGATTTGTGCTCTCGAGGAAGCTGGGATGCAACACTTCGGATTTGCGCGTGTCATCCCTTCAAAAACCGGCCAAAAACACCCTGGATGGATGCAGCACACATGCAAGCGACTCGAACGATGTTCCCTTCCGATTGTACGCATGACATGTTGCGGTCGAACGAAATGGTCAACGATGGTGACTGTATTGCACACCCCCGCACGAACAAAACATGGCATGTTTACATCTCCTAACGAAAGGTGTTCATCTATTCCGGTAGGATTGTATCAATCCATCCAAGTTGTTTTCATTCAACTTCAAGGAACATCATTTCGGTCTATGGGATGTAGCAGCACTGCTTACAAAGGCGCAGCTTTCGATTCACATCGATTGCTGACAAGCACAAGCTATCATAGGAGTGGAAGCAGCTATTGTGCTCGAACGAAAATGCCATGAGGTGGTCATGGCCCCGAATCCCTTCTCGAAGACAGGTGTCACAAAGGCCTCGCTTGACCAGTTGTGTGTCCTTATGGTGCTTAAGCAAGGAACACGAAGCTCGGCGCAATCGTTCGCCAGTCTTTCGAGTCATCACAAAGATCTCGCCGACACCAAATCCTTCACGGGCCGGACTCGGAGAGCTAGTGGCATAGGATACACTGGATGGCGGCTCAACCACAGGAGGAGAGTACGACGGAGGATGAGGATCCGATTCTTCACCCAGCACCTCTTCCCAACCATCCAACTCCTTTCCATCATCATGATGATCTCGAGCAGCTGACATCTCATGATCCAAGCTCTTTGCAACCTCATGGCCAGACTGCGATGCTTTACCATATCCCTCAGACTTGTCAACTTTCTTCGAATTCTTTCCACCGGCCTTCACGGCCAATCTATCTCCACTTGAACCTGCCATGGATTCCAACCGCTCTTCACCAGCATCAGTCTCCTTCACTGTCACCGTGACACTCACTTCTTTGGCAGGAGAGTCGACCGAAATAGTGATTCGCGGCTTCGAAGATGACATGGCAAGATACTAGTCAAGTGGTTACAAAAGGACTCGAAAGTTCATTCAAATGACTTTCGTCATGCAAGAACAAATTGTATCCAAGTTTATGGAATTATGTATGCTTATGCTATTCATTAATCTCGAGAATCTATCGAATTCTACCTTCACACCCCTTTAGCCTTCACTCTGGGAGAGACTGCATTCGGAGGAACCAAGAGGCCAATTTCTGAACTAGCTTCAATGGATATACTCCTAGTGCGTGAAGACTCTGGCTGTTCAAGGGCAAATGGGTATTGCGTTGACAGCTTTTGGGATCAAACAGCATGCAATTGCTAGCGACTTTAAACTCATGTTTTGCTTGGGCCTCTTCACTCTGGATGTAAGCGCAACGCTGGATGATGGTGACGTGCTTCAAATCTCCCTCATGGCAGTACGTCTGAACCATGGAATCCTTCCAATACATACATGGCTTTGCTAGTTCTAGGCATCGAACGTGACAACGCATCATGATACCTCTTGAGCTTTCGATCAACAAAGCAAATTCTGCCATGCGCTGCTCTCGAATTTCTGCCCTGCGAGGTTCAGGGATCAGATTGATCACTGGCGAACCACCTGTACATGGAGGCGAAGCCCAACACATCAGCATGACCTTTGGAGAGTCTCGGAGGACCTTGTCGATCCAATCACACAACTTCAAATGAACAACATTCAAATTGTCGTCCTCGGTGACTGGCACAATCCGCAAGGATCCATATGAATCTCTTCGAATCACCTGTGAAAACCCGCCTTCGTTTGAAGTGCAAAGTTCAACGATCACACGCGAGACCTTTCCGTCAGCTATGTCGGACATAATCTTCAGCAGCTTCAACTCAAACTCGGTCTCACCACTGCCAACCGATGCGATTTCGGCATACGGAAAAGTCGACAATGGTTCTTCCGGCAACATCACCTTTTTATTCTCTAGATCATGCTGTACGGCAGCAACATCTTCTTCAGGTACCTTTTCGTCTTTCGTTTGTTTGGATCGTTTCTTCAACTCTTCCCACATGTGGTCTGCCAGGTTTCTGGCGCAGTGATCTCGCAGATGCCAATCTGTTCTCTGTGAAATTCTGTCAAATCACGATTCAAGATCTTGGTGAGGAGGTCTGCACTACAGAATTTGCCTGAAATCCATACTAAAACCATATGTCCGTTTTCTACCAAAGATTGAACATAACAGGTGGCTAGCGAGATGTGTCGGACACGACGTGACAGCCCTTGGTTCTGCAAGACAGCTATGCATGATTGAGAATCTGAGTACAAAAGAACTGGAAAGTATTCACGAACAGCTGAACTTCCGATCTGATCAAACTGCATAGCAGCCAAGCCTTCTTGCTGAAACTTGTGAAGCTCTGTCGTGTCGGCGAAGGAGTCGAGGTATTCCACTAAGTGTCTTAACCCAATGCATTCTTGTGCAACTTGACACACCGCCACGACTTCCGCTTCACACGAAGACAGTGTCACACATCCTTGCAATCGGCTGAAGCTCTTCACGACACATCCTCGCCAAATAATGAGGCCACCGCTGACAGATCTTCGTTTCTCAACATCGCTACTTCCCCATGAGGCGTCAGAGATTCCAATCAAACAGTCATAGTAGTCGATGTGCATATTCTCTGCGGGGAATTGATGAAACAAATGCGCAGTGCTTCGAACAAACCTCAAATACCTCCTCAGCATGTGCAATGTTCTCATGAACATTCGTTGGATCACATTGTCCAGTGGCTAACAGGGAGATGAACCTGGCATGATCTGGACGTGTTTGGCTCCACCACGCAAGCTTTCCGACAATCCGTTTGTACCTACTTGCAGCTTCTTCAGACAAGATCGTGATCGTTTCTGGACTGCGATGAGCTTTCTCAAGAATCTGGAGAAGGTCCGGGGGAACAGGGGTTCCTTTCAAATCCTGACAAAAGGGGTCATCAACAAACAATTCTTCCAGATAATTGGGTGGTACACGAACCAAAAGACGATCAGACTGATTTGGTCGAATGATCTCCCTTCCGAGGAATGTGATTCGGCCCCCTTCCTTACTTGCATTGGTGATCATGCCGGTTGTTTTGACTTTCAAAGACTCTTCAAGTGCTCCACGAATGTCCTGAATCCCACGAGGTGACAAAGATCCTACCAACAGGTCGTCTACGTATACCAACACTATCGAAGGACTGTTTGATTTCTTTGTCACTCCTGCAAGGATTGTTTGCTCACTTGGACACTTCAAGAGACCTGCATTGTCCCTGAGGATCCTTGAACACGTGTTCAACCAAGCCTTTGAAGCAACTCTCAGGCCGTTCATCGCTCGATACAAGTCCAGGAACACAGGTTCATATGCGTCAGGCGCAAATGACACGTCAGCAGGCATTCTGACTATGGCCCTGATGCCGTTCGGCAGCTGGCTGTGCAAAAAGGCCGTTGAGATATCAAGACTTGTTAACCACATATTGTAGTGTTGGACTGCTGCGAGAAATGAACGGAAGGCCTCTACACTCGGAGTCGAGCTTGATATATCGAGATGATGTGCCGATTGGGCTCCAGCTGCAACGTCCTGAACTACGCATCTAGCCCTGCACTGGTTTGGGACTCCTTCTACAGTTTTACTGGTCAAAACCCAACGCGATCCGATGATACGGATGTGCAATTCGGAAGCCATGGCCTTTGCAGTCTGAGCTTCAATCGGCACTCCTACCGTCAACTTATTCATTGCAACAAGCTCAATCAACCTTCCTGCCTTTACCAGCTCTGGTGGAAAAGTTGTTTGTCCGTCCTCAGACAGTCCAAGCTCTGGGTCGATTAAGAACACAGTGCATCCACAGAACTCAAATGGCTCGCTGGTCAATTTGGTAGTCTGCTTCGATGGTACGAAGATTGGACAGAATATCCCTTGGCTTGAGCTCTCTCGGATCAACTCTTCCGGAGGTGGTGACAAAAGACGCAGGAACTGGCTGATGTCCATCGGCACCCGACTTGGGTCACCGTCCATTCCATCGTTCATTGCAACATCGGGCAATGCATCAGGGATTGAGGGTTCATATTCAGGGTCTACTTCCATGGAGGGAGGATCCCAACGAACATCAGCATTCGGCGCGTCCGGAAGCCGACCATCAGACATCTCAGGAGCGGGTTCCCTGTCACCTGAGACGGGAGGCTTCTTCTCGGAATATCGAATGTGCCCGGTGGGATGATCCGGCTTTGGAAGAACATCTGAACCTGCCTGATGACCTGATGATGTATCTTCTTGACCTTTGGATGACCCACTCAACCGACGACGCTCTGACTCTGTCCCTGTAACGTCTACAGCAAGCAGCAGAGTGTTTACGACCATGTCTACTGGATGCATTGTGCAATCGGGCGTTGGACCGTACTGTTGAATCCAGGGACGGGGTGGACCGGTCGACGGAAGTGCTTCACCGGCCCCGACCTGATCATCCAATGGCCTTGGTGGCCTCATAGATTCGCTCGAAGGCAACTCTGCGCGTGAAGTCTTCGGGATTTCCTTGAGAACCGATGGACACATACTGACGTCCCACATCAAACGGTCGAGCGGCTTCACCTCTGCCTGGAACGTGTGTTCTTTCCCTGAGATCTGGGTGGTCACAACATGTGCCAAACTGTTGGGTTTGATGTACATGTATGCAGCAGGAACGAATCGACTTTTCTCGGGGATCTGATCAATGAGCGACTCCGGAACTTTGGCCATACAAATGCTTCCAAACATGCTCGTGACTGGTTTAGGTCGATCTTTCTGAAGCAACAACTCGACTGGTGCTCGACGATTTTCAAGTCCCGAGGAGCTTCCGGTTGCACTGCCAACCCCAAAGTGGTTGTGCGTTTGACAGATGTAACATAACATGCGGTGGTAACTGTCCTCAGTTTCGGTGATGTCAAAACCGTGAACCCTTAGGTCACTCCTCAAACAAGACACCATTTCCTTCATCCGTCGCACGTTACGCTCGGCAAGGCCCACCGTTTGGTGACTTTGAGGTGCGGCCGCTTTGATGATCAATGGAAGGCCGAGCTTCTTGAGAACATTTCCTAATGCAACTTCGGAATCCGTGAGGATCTCGACCGACATCGAACTCGTTTCGGCGATTCCCAATTGGGCGAAGAACTTCCGGCAGTCAGCTAGTGTGGCATCAGTGTTCAATCCACATGAAGCTACCCCAATCAGCCCCGAACTCCCTTCGGCAAGTAACATAAACTTGTGCCTATCGATGAAAAAGAAATCTGCCTGCACTAACATCAGCTTATGATCGACTGGCGAGTTCGACTCTTTGATTCGTGCATGGTGAATAGTTGAACGACTTCTCAAACAATGAGTGCAACGTCGATCATATGGGATGTGTCCTCTCCTACGGTGTATTGAAAGTTCCTTCTCAATCTTCTGTGAAAAACCGGGAATGATGCATCTGAAGTTGCACAAGGCTCTGACTTCTCGTCGATTTCAATGTCTATTTCACCTTGTTTCGGCAGTGGCTGGTCAAGCACATGGAGAACCGATGACTTGGTGGGACATGTCAACTTGCGATTGGGCTCATGTTTCTTACCTGCAACTTCAAAGACTTGCACTTCAGGGATGTCATCGAATTTCAACACTTTCACATGATTACCTTTCGAAGGACTTCGAACGGGCGTTTCGGGAGACATTAAGATCGAACGTTCCGAAGCTTTTGAGGACTTGCCTGAACAGGAACTCTTTGGTGAGGCATCGGATGAGTGCTCGGACCATGCTTCGAGGCGTGACCCATGTGGACATCTTGGTCCTTGCTTCGAGTCTTACGACGGTGGGCTCTCAACCAAGGCACGTTCGCCCAAATCTCACACTCCATCCTTCGGATATCCCCCACCCTGACATGGCAACCTTCAGGTCCAAACTCAAAGGTGGCCCCCATTCTGGTGAGTCCTGAAACGCTCAACCGGTCCCACCACTGCACGAATCTCATAGCGAACAAGTTTCGTCTTGTCGTGATCATCATGTTCGATGATGGTTGGAAAATACACTTCCAACATGCATTCATGTGCGATTTGAACTTGTTCTCCTGAAGCCGTTCTGAACTGGATTGGTGAAGTGAGGGTTCGTTCACGAAGTACACGATAGGCCGACAGCGATTCGATCGAAATCACAGTTTTGCTTGCACCTGAATCCACCAACCACAGGTGTGGATCATGCATGTCTTGGCTTTGGCAAATGAAAAACGGTTCGCAAAAATCAACCAAGACCGACAATCGACCTCCGTCTTCGATGTCTGGTTCGGACCACTCACTACCGGCTTCGGATTCGGGTTGGAACGAAGAAAACTCAGTTGCTCTCTTTCCCGGTTTGCCACCTTTCGAATCTCCTTTCTTACCTTTCTCTCCTTTACTTCCTTTCTCTGTGCCTTTGCTTCCTTTGGAACCCTTTCCTTGCTTGTCTCCTTTGGCACGATGTGGACAATCAGACGAAAGGTGGCCTCGTTGATTGCGTGTGAAGCAAGTTCGAGTCTCTTCGGAAGTTCCTTTTCCTTTACCCTCACCTTCCTTTCCTTTGTCTTTACCTCCCTTGGATCCTTTGCCCTTTCCATCGCCCTTTTTGCCTTTGTCTCCTTTTCCTGATGTGTTCTGAAGTGCAGCAATTGGCTTACCTCCAACATCGGACCAAATACGTTGTTGTGCTTCATATCGTAGGGCACTTTCAACATACGAGATGAATGATTCATCCGGGGAATTCAACACAATCCACTGTCGACACGGCTGTGGAGGAGCTCTCAACAAAACAAGGACCTTGTCGGCTTCGACGAACTCTAGACCTTTGATGTTGACACTCGGATCTACCAGCTGTGCGACACGTTCGTACTGGAACAATTCAGACTGGATCTTCCGGATGACTTCGGGAATAGTCGGCGCCGAAATGCTGCTGTTTGCTAGTTGTGTACGAAAGAAGAGGAGCTCTGTTCTGGTTTTGACCGAAAATTCACGGGCGATCAGTCGAAGGCACTCGAATCCACAGCATCGAACAAAATCTTTTGACTCTTCATAGTTACGAATCACTAGACTCGCTCTTGCATGGTTACTGAAACAGGTTTTCAGTATGGATAACAGTCGAACTGAACGAGTCACTTGACTAGGCGAAAGTCGATGCCACCCCAAAGGTTCAGTCTCCTTGATACACATCATGATCTCTGCGGGATACGTATTCGAGCCTAGGCCTGTCCAACTGGCCAATGAAGTCAACCATGAAAGGAATCCAGTAATCTCCAATGGCCTCGTTTTCCATTCGTCGAAAGTCGGAAGTGGCATGTTCGGCATCCATCGTTCCGAACGCTTGAATGGATTGTCTTCCCCCGTTTCACGATGCGAACCGTGAGGTGTATCGATCTGGATAGGCGGTTGTCCGACTGATGCTGGATTCGATGGCATACCTGGAAACAAACCTGTTTGACTCATTGGAATTTGGCTCAGGCCAGGCGGACATGATCCGGGAGGACATGGCATTTGAGTATACATACTAGGTTGAGCAGCCTCGAATGGGTTCTGACGTTCTGGACTCTGAGGCATGCTAGTTGGGAATGGTTGATCAGGAATCCCAGCGGCTTGGGCAGGAGACTGATGGAAGTTTCTCCAAGGATCATTTGCCTGCCATGGATCGGACGGCTGAGTTCCTGACACATCAATTCGATTCGGGTCTAACACATTTGGATGGTTGGTCTGACTGGGCAGTGGGTTCGATTCGCTTGCTTGCCCGGGCGTTTGATGAACAGAACCTGGGTTGAAAGGTGAAGGAGGAGCTACAGCAGGTGGATCTGGCCTTTGAGGCATGTTCAAAGTCGACTGCTGAGCTTGTTGTGTATGAAGGACTTGCTGCAACACTGGACCTAAAGCCGAAAGAGTCTGAGTCAACTGCTCGACTTGGGTTTCCAGTCGTTGGAATCTATCAGACTGCCTTCCCTCATCCCCCAACCGAGATTCTGGAGCTTCTTCTCCTCGAGTCTGGGATCGGTCTCTGGATCGTTCTCGGCGAGCTGATCGTTCAGTTCCAGATGCATCGGCCATCAAACTGGAAACTACGTGAAGTGGTCCTAGATGCAACTGTTGTGAACTAGATCGGATGCCCTTTTCAGGGCTCCGCTACCATATGAAAGTTAAAACTCTCGTGAACTGTTCCCCAAAAAGAACGTGAACCTTGAAAAAAATTGAGACCTCAAACCTATCGCGAACCCTCGGACGCGATCGTCCGATTCGCCCACCGCCCCGGCGCCCGCGCGCGTTTTTCTCGCACGGACTTGAGCCTTGAGCCAATGAGCCAATGACGAACGGATTTGAGGCCCCCAACTAGGGTTGGCTGCACTCAATGGGTTCTTACGAACGCGCACTGTAAGCTAAAGGATGCCGACAGCTTGGGCTGACTGCACCCTTAAATCACAGCTCTGGCGATTGTTGAGTTCGTCATGGCAAGGCTCGGCTTCGACGAACTTGGTACATGTTCTCGATTTGTGCTCTCGAGGAAGCTGGGATGCAACACTTCGGATTTGCGCGTGTCATCCCTTCAAAAACCGGCCAAAAACACCCTGGATGGATGCAGCACACATGCAAGCGACTCGAACGATGTTCCCTTCTGATTGTATGCATGACATGTTGTGGTCGAACGAAATGGTCAACGATGGTGACTGTATTTCACAGGTGGTGGTGGTGGTGGTGGTGATGGGGGTGATGGAGGTGATGGAGGTTCACAAATCAGGCATCTAGGTCCAGAGTTCTTCAAGGTTCCCAAAGTGCAAAAACACAAAGTTTTTGCTCGAGATTTCTTCCAATTTCTGAAAACCAGGCATCAGGTAAGAGCCTAAATAATTTTACCACAATGTTTTGGGAATTTCGGCAATGAAGTAGAAGGCGCTCCCTGCAAGAACCGACGCAAGCTGCTGCTCTTCCATAGCAAGCATGCATAAGCAACCCCTTGTTTTCAACTAAACTATGCGCTGATTGACCCCTGATTGATCCAGGCTGTCCACACCTTATAGCAGCCTTGAACAATGTTTGGTAGTTATCAGTAGGTCTTGAAATGTTGAAAGATCACTTGGCAAGAACAGTTTCCGCAGTTTGTTTGTATCGCGTGTTGCTTTACGCCCAATGTATTTTATCAGACCAGGAGAATACCACCATCCTGGTTCCAAGCAGCACTGGCTGTCAGGAGACTGGGCCGAGTGGTAGGATGCTTCGAATTGATTCTTGTGTTTTGGTGCTGTGTCAGGCAAATGTTTGTTATTTGTCCTTTGGAAGTTTATGATTGACCAAGAATCAGGATTTGTAGAAGGTCTGAGAAACTCTTCAGCTCTAATCATTTGGAAGCGCATTTCCTGTTTTAGGAAGAAACGCAGAGGTGTTCATCTCGTTTTGAACCAAAATCGCTGCGTGTCAGGACTGCAACACTGCGCTTTGCCTTCATCAATTCCGCGGCTGCGTCATTGCTCAAAAGCATGGAGGACAGCAATGTGCCCTTTTGGAAAATATGCATTTGCAGAAGTGAACAAGTAAAACACCTGTTAACTGTTAACCTGCTTTGATGTCCAAGTTGGTGCAATCCTTTGTGCGATGCCAACTCTGAGAGAATGTGGCACTTGTATATAATTTGTACGAGATTGGAGGCGCAGTGGCAGTGCATTGCATACACCGAACTGCCCTCATGCCAAGGCTGGACACGACCATGGGAACCCCCACAAGAGCGAAACACTTGCCAAATAAGGCATGATCAACCCGTATTATGAAATAGATAGATTTCAGTCAACGCTAATTCCTGCTGGACAAAGCAGTCTTGCTCACATTGGAGCAAGAGGCTTGCGGTTGGATTATTGATCGTGGTTGCGCTGGTGCTTGTCATTGCGGCCTTGAACAAGGACCATCGGGGGGAAGGCTGTGCCAAGAACGTTCGTGTGCGTCAGAATATATTATACATCATTATACTCAGGCAAAGGGCGGCCAAAACATACATTGGTAGCCATTCACTATGACTATGAGTTCAGAGCACAACCGACAGTGTCAGTGTAATTGTTTCAGGATATGTTGTGCATAGATGTGCAAGACCGAATCTATTGATTACGAGTATTTGATGTTTAACAGCCACTGTTCTTTTTGATACTCTATATCCCACCGGGTTCACTTAGACAGTGAGTTACTATCTATTTCAAGCATTGCAATGACGTTCAAAACGTTGAGCAAGAATAAGAAAGGAGGGTGAACAGTGAACAGTTCCATCTTACAAAATATGAAACAATACTTCCAAGACCAGACAAGTTCCTGAAAACACTTTCCCGACTAAGGAAAACAAGATGGAGCCCACGAGCCCGAATGCACACACGCACTCGAAAACAAACGGCCCAACAGTGTTTGACACTCTTGGCAGAGTCTTGTGTGGGACAATCTTGTGGGCCCTACAAGAGGGATACTCTGGTGGGGCATTCTTGTAGGATACTCATGTGGCAGAGTCTTGTGTGGGGAGTCTTGTGCGCGGCACTCTTGCGAGAAACTCTTGTGGCACAGTCTTGTGTGGGCACTCTTGTAGGACGCTCTTGTGGCACAGCCTCTTGTGGGCTACTCTCGTAGGGGACTCTTGTGGCACAGTCTTGTGAGGGATGCTCTTGTAGGGCTCTGTTGTGGACGGCACCAGCGCCCAAGCTCCAAAGCGCAATGGCCATAGTCATCTCGCAGCAGCACCCTGGAGCGGCACCCTGCAGCGGCACTTGCACGCTCCAAAGCGCGCAATTGAAGTAAGGACCCCATTAGCTTTCGCTTCTTGGTGAAGAATGTGCCAGACGGCTTTATGGCTGGCGCCATTCCGTTTGTCACGGCATGTCCACACGAGCTGGATATTCTTGCGTTTCCTTTACTTTCTTAGAAGCGTGCTCATGCGCTGTGGCATTTGGATTCGGCACTCTTTCAATCGGACTCCGGGGTTGTCACCATTCTCCTATAAGTCCTATATATATACATAAGATAGTCAATTGAGGTTCTAGACGGGGGTTCTCCGGGGACTTCAGCATCACCGGGACATCGGGGACTTCAGCATCACAACATTGTCATCGATCACAGCATTGTCATGACCACAACATTGTCACCGATTAGCCGTGTGATTAAAATTGGGTGGGGGGGGTGGGGTTGGTGAGGGGGGTGAGGGGTAAGTTCCGCAAAGTGGCAGTGAAGTACACTGGACCTGATCGATAACACCAAGTAAGACCCAATAGACTCGATAGCGGAGTGTGGAAGTCTGCGAACGGCAGAGAGCACACTTTTCTATGGTGAGCGGTGCAAATGCGGGCTCTAGTGGTCTTGAGCCAAAAGCAGCATGAATTATGCTGTTAAGCTGATTGCAGAGTATATGTACAAGTAACTACGAACAATGCTACGCACGTATAGCGTAGACACGCCTAGGACCTAGGACCCTACAAATTACAATCAAACACAATTTTTCTTCGTGTCGAAGCTTACGTCTGCAAAAGTACAAAGTGAAATGCAAGTGATCAGACCAAAAAAAGGGCTGACTATCAGACATAGTTTTCTTTTGGCCGTGCAAATGCACTGCCATTTACACTGTAAAAAGCACCACATCCATTTTTCACTGGTGCCAGCAGTAACTTTGAATGCTTTTTCAGCATGAAATGCCATATGCAAAAGCATGAAACCACACCTTGCCTGGGGAGATGCAAAACACCTTGTCCAAATCCGGCATTACTACTCTGTTCATATTTGACTTTTTCGCGCTGATTTTTTCGAAAAAAACCGTTTGTCTTAGCACTGTTTTCAATGCATCAAAGCAAGCGCGCTCTATCAGAAACACCGGCAGGCTCCGCGTTTTCGACTCGTCTGACGTTTGCTTGTGTTGTTTTCGCCCGGAGAACCCCCCGTCTGCAGCCTCAATTGATCTTTGGATTTCCGCCTCCCATCATTTTCGAAACATTCTGAATGTTCTGGGTGTGGTGTTTCGCATAGCTCGTTACAGGGACGGTTCTTGAATGTTTGATTCCACCGAAGTTGGTTCCTTCAAGCGTCTCTGCTGGCATTTCATGTTGAAAATGGCAGCGAGGCTTGAGGAGCTGTCACCCTCATTTTTGAGTTCGCAGCAGCGATGTCCTAGTCCTAGTCGAGTCATCATCAATCATAACCACCAAATGCTTCCCCCAATGCAGGACTTGATTCAAATATGTTCAATTGTTGATCTTGAGGTGGCTGATCGACATTGCTCATCATATCATTGGAATTTGCTGTAAGAGTGACTGTGCAACAACAGCACGCATGCTCGTCATCAGCTATCAGAAGTGCAATATCAACTCACAGCACCTGATGCCCAAGGGCAAACATGTCAGATAAAGTTGATCTCAAGACCAAGAGTGTTCATTTGTGGCAAGCTCATCAGCATGTTGAGCTCTTTTTGTAAATCATCCAATCTCAATGGTATATGTTGATCAGGAATCATGAGCTTCTGAGGGCAAGTTGCCTTTTATGAGTTTGCAAACTAGAACGTGCCCTTAGTGGCGTTGACCCATTCAAAGGTACCTCAGTGATGCGTGGTATGGAGAATATTGGCCTGGCAAAAAGGTTGTATGCAGGCTCTTGGCAGGGATGGTTGGGGGTTAGATTACGAACAGCTAATGAGGGCATACTCGGCATATCCTGGCTTGAGCTTGCAGCTGCTAAAGCATTTACTGTATATATACTGTAACCCTTGCGACTTCCTGGTTCCCCTCAGCCCGCCAGAAGTCCCAAGATGAAAAGGCAAGGTCGAACAATACATGCTCTCTCAATAATGTTTGACTGACTCACTGAAAAGGACAGGTGGGCAATAGCTCGGCGAATCTATGATGGGATTGGCGAGAAGGATGCATGACAGCGAGCGCCGTTGTCCTTTGGCAAGAATGGCAGATCGAAAGTTAAACTTTGAATAGTTTGGAGTGCAAGTTAAAACCAAGCTGTACTTCATCCCAAGGTCTTGCGTGGAGGGCCGTGGCAAGAGCAAAGTGTTGATCTCTTCATCATGGCACCCTGGGCAGAAAAATGCTAGGCTGCTAGAAGAGCGGAGGAGGTTACTGAACTGTTGCTTTGGGTTCTGCATGTTTGATGGAGTTTGGGGTTGGCATCAAATGCCTCCTTGTTTGGTTCTGCCAGTTGAACAGCATGTAGTTGCCCCTGTTGATGATTACTGCAGAAGGACTAACGGGTGCAACGGTTTGTGAGACAGATTTTTGTTGCTTTCCTGCGACAGGCACATTCCGCAGCGTTCAAGGTGTTGGTTCTTTTCCGTACAGAATGGTTTGTACTTGAGAGGACTATATTCAAGCAATCCACGGTTCCCTCCGCTGCAAATCTATACATATGTTCATGTTCAGATGGCAAGGCTAATAAATTGCAAAGAAGTTGCCCTTTTTTCCGTCCTTCCTCTGCCATGGCGGCAGAATATTACGCTTGCACCTTCTTGGAGTTCAAAGACATGGGTTTGGGAGAAGCTGCTGACCAAGTCTTGAAGGAGGGATTGAGGGCTTATCCTGGAGATGGTGAGTTGTTGACTTTGGCAAAGGACAGAGGAATTGTAGAGGACAAGCGAGAAGGCGGTCCCGAAAGCCCCGAAGGCGGTCTGGGTCAGCTTTTGGCTGCCATGATGAAGTCGCAGGAGCCAAGCGTCAAGGTGAGGCCAGAGCTAGGGACCAAACACGGGCTCGATTTCGAAGGCGCCGACTTCAAGGACCCAGAACTGCAAGGATCAGATTTCTGGGAGAAGCTGAAGACTCGCGACTTAAGAAGTATTTTGTTGGAACACGGAGGGCTGATCAGAGTTTCAGATTTCTTGCCTCAACACAAGGCGCACGAGGCAAAGGAGACACTCCATGCTCTGCAAAAGTCATATTGGGTTGAGTCAAGCTCATCAGCTTACGAGGGCGAACTTGTTGAGAGTGCAACGCATAGTTTCTTCCGGTATGATGGAGATCAGCTGGACAACATTGTTGAACACATTCGATCCATGGCCCCTGATGATTTTCCAAGTTTTCAGGCAGCGATGTACCAGAATGGTGGCAACTTGTGCGCACATGACGATAGCAACTATTTCATTGTGGACAAGGCGGACAGGAACCAGAACCAAAAATTCCCAGCTGGAAGCCTATTGTTCAGAAAGATTGCTGTCATCTACTACCTCTCAAAGGACTGGAAGACAGATTACGGTGGCGCCTTGGTGGATATGCATGAGGACAAACAATATTTTCCCCGCTTCAATTCCATGGTGGCATTCCTGGTACCGCGTCTCCATCAGGTCCAAGAGTTGGCACCAGGCTCTCCACCACGATTCTCGTTGTTTGGATGGTTTAGTGATGAGAAGCCATATCCAACTTCAGAGGAGCTTGCCAGGATGCCCTGCTTTTCAACACTGGCTTAAATTGAATCATCAGAATCAAAATGACTTATCGCCTATCGCCATCGCAGCTCTTTTTCACCAAGGCTTTTTGAGAAGGCCACAGCGAATCATTGTTGCATCGAAGGTGCAAGGTAAGCTGTCGGCTCCACCACGCACGCTGTGTCGCTGTGCAAAACTGCGTGTCGTTTGCTCGCATTTGTAATTGTGAGCTTAGAGGGGTTTAGTCAAGATCTAATTGCGTATCAGTTCAAGCAGGACTTGAGAGAGAGACAAACATCGAAATGTCAGGCTGAGAACAAAGTAAGAGTCCAGAGTTTTCGTTTCGGGTTACTCGCAACCGTATACTGCAATGTTGTAGCAGTCCACTTTTTAAATGGAACCAAAAAGGCATCAAAAGGCTCTAAGGCCTGCTAGTGGCAGATGGATTCTATCCTTTGTACACGCGACGTTACCAGACCCTTTTAGTTTGTTGCTTGGGTTGCCGTTGTTTTCAACCTTACAGTCAGTCATTCAGAAGACAGCGATGCAGCATGATACAGCATTCAAGCAGAAAACCACCTTCATGACAGGAATCAGCCCAAGAATGGTAGATAGCAGTGCAGCTATATTTTAATTGGTGTCCATTCGTGGAGCCTCCAAAATGAAGAGCCCTTTCCCCATTGTTAGAGCTCCCTATCGCATCAAAGTCATTTCATCTTCGCGCCTACGATTTGTTGTGTTCCCTGCAATGAGGAAGAGGGGAGAACACTGTTTAAATGCAAAAGTATGTGTGAAATATTGTGAAATACTTGTTGCGGGTGCTTCGGTAGCAATCAGAGTGAAGACACAGTCAAAGGAAAGTTTAGGCAAGAAACATCTGAGCGGCGAACACTGTACGATCACTTCTGAACAGGATGCCACATCAACAAGTGCGCGTGGTTGCTTTTGGTTTGAGCTGCTTCCACTGCGAAAGTTTTCATGTTCCTTGTTGATTGTTGATGTTCAAGGCCCTTGATCACCACCTATATGAATCACAAACACTCAGATCGCAGGCACCAACTTGACCCCGCGGAATTGCCGATTGAGTTTATGAAGATAGCACTACTCACATGCCTTTCTTCAAGACATGCTACTCGGCAGTCTGCGAACTCTGTGGCATATGAAGCTTTCTTCCACTGCCAGGGTGTTGTCACTTGCTCTTGGGAAAGGCTCAAGCTTTAGCTGTTGACACTATTTTTCGATTGGCGATAAACTTTGTGGAAAGCTTAATATTCTCGTTGTTGGGGCAGCTAAGCCAAGTCGTTCTTACGTTCTTTGTGGGTTTCGTTTGGGGGGTGTCGATGTCTTCTTTGTCTTTGTCTACAAACTTTTTGTACCGGAGTAGCGCTAAGAAATGATTCCAGGGGGTATGTCAATGGGTGTACTGTAATCATGTCCTTGGAATCATTTTTTGCAGGGGGGTCAACAATGTCAGGAATCATTTGCACATACCTATAGTGAATTAGAGAAACTTAGAACATACTACAACGCGGTGTCTCCCTGGATTCCAGGGTTCACTGTTTGTTTTCCTTTCTGTGCTTGTTCTCCAATGGCACTGAAGAAGTGTCTATCCTCTATGGCACTGGCACTGAAAAAGTGTCTTTGTTCTTTCTGGCACTACAAAAGTGGCATCTCCTTTTATAGAGTTTGATGTCAGTTTGTTAGGGGGGTGCATAGACTTATCTGCTGATTTCAGGAAATTCTTCTAAGCGTGGACGACGGTCAGAATCATTATCAGCAACCTATCTCACACACACACAGAATCATTTAAAGTATTTCCAGGAGTGGTTGAAGGGGGACCCCTTGAACGCATCCCCCATCCTTTTGTCAAGAAGACTGCCTATCAAGCAAACTTGTTTAGCTCACGCCACTGCAAAAGTCCTAGTGTTTTTATCTTTTGTCGCAGTTTATCCACTTCAACTCAATGCTTTTGCAACTCAGTTTTTACTGCCCCACTGTTACAACACGATCGCTCCTTGTACAGCTACACTATGCTCTGCCCCTCATCGCGCATGTTTTTGCAGCTGTTGCACTTGCGTTCTTCTAGTTTTATGTTTGCACCCCCAGCCATTCTTCCACCTTCACCGAAGCTTCCAGCAATAGTTAATCAATGAGACAGTATTTTGCAGCTTCACTACGCATGTCATCTTCTTTACTCCTTGCCTCATGAAGCTCTGAACAAAACATGTGCTTAAACGTAAACAGACAGCAGAAAGCAAAAAAGTTTGCCGACTGCAGACTGACGGGTATTGTTTGCTAAGGGATTGTACAAGTTAATACAAATACATAAAATATACTTTGGTTGACCGATCTCACTTTGTCACCATTTGGGCCCAGTGGGGCATGCTATGCGAGCGTAAGCAAAAGGTGTTGCTATACTTGCAGGTAGATATTTAATGCTGATGAATGTTTGGATAATTGCTTTTGCGCATTGTGTCGTTTGTTTATGGATGAGATTATTATCTGTCAATCAATCAATCAATCAATCAGTTATATAATCGTTTAGTTTGGATGACCTGCGCTGTTTGGATTAGAAAATAAATAAGTTAAAGATGTACTGTAAATATATATTGAGTATTGTACTTCTTTTTTGTTGATACACTAAACACTTGAAATTACGGACAATGTAGATGTTGTTGTTTCTTTTTTATTGTATGAACCTACGAACCCATATTCGATGATTGATGCTTTGCTTTTGGTTCTTGTGTCTTTAGCTCATGGATGAGAGTATGGCAAAGGTTGCAAGTGGTCGGTTGGCTTTTCTGTATTAACGTTTTATCCTGCTAGAGCCCCAGCACCAAAGACAATGGTAGCCCCGTGAGCTTCGCGCGCACTGGATGTCTCAGGCAAGATGAACCGGGAAGGAACTCGCAGTTGTCAATTCACGGTGAAGATATCAGTTCCAGACGCGGAACTGACGTACCTGCTCTTTGTGGCGTTGACAAGCTGTTCACCCCACTCTACCTGTAAAGTGCTATAATGAGTCCTTGTTGAAAGCCTTCTGCTGAGCCGACTATTCACTTTTGCGGCTCTGCAAGTCAAGGTCTAGTTTTCAGTACCGTAAAGAGCTAACTTCACGGGAGTTTCGAAACTGATTTAGCTCTTGCAAGCATGGATCCAAGTGTGTGCCGCAGCAGCGTCCCAGAGAGGTCTGCTGTGCCAGATCGGGGCGCGCTTAGCACAGGCTCTTAAGGGCGATCAGTCACAGGTGCACGATACTCACCAGCTTATCGTTCTGCTCAAGATTGCTGATAGTTATTAAGCTGCAGAGCTTAGTGAAAGCCTCTCACAGAATGACATGTCATGCGACTAAGTATTCACTGTTCCAAGGCTTAATCAAACTGAGTGCTTCATGCACGGTCTTGCTTTCTCTCCTTTCTACGCTTTCTCTTTCTAGGTCTTTTGTTCGTTGCTAGAGGCTAATTAGGTTTTAGGCTAAGCTTTAGTCAAGGGAGCTCCGATTTCGGCTTTTTGGGTGTCTGGCAATGTGCCTTTCAACCACCGCTGCCCCACACGCACCCCCCACACCCCCCCTTTCTCTCCTTGCTTTCTTTCGTTTGTTAGGTCTTTTTTTGTGCTTTTTAGGTTGGCGTTTAGGCTCGTCTTTGTCGATCCCGACCCAAACCCTCCCCGCTTTCGTTCTTTCCTGCTTTCGTGTCTCTTTCTTTGCCTTTCTTCGTTCCCTGAGGCTATTTAGGTTTGTAACAAGGTGTTTTTCACTCACGCGCCCGCCAATTTTCCGAATGAGCGCCGGTCTCGGCAATTTGTGTGTGTGTCCACTGGCAATTTTCCTCTTGTGTTGGCCAGGGGCGGGGCCCAAATCGGTGTTCATTTGGCGCCCGAATTCGTGTGCCAAATGAACACCAATTTGGGGCCCGCATTTCTTGCATCATGGCCCCGCCCCTGGCCAACCCAAGAGGAAAATTGCCAGCGTCAACTCCTGCTTCAAAGGAACTCTGTCACACCTCTGTATAGTTCAGCAGGAGAGACACCTGCATTGCGTCTCCATCAACGAAGTTGGCAATGCATGGTGAGGATGCTAATGAGTCCTTGTTGAAACCTTCTGTTGAGCCGACTATTCACTTTTGCGGTTCTGCAAGCCAAGGTCTACCTTTCAGTAACGCAAAGCGCTAACCTCACGGGGGTTTCAAAACTGATTTAGCTCTTGCGAGCATGGATCCAAGTGTGTGTGTGGTTGCTGCTGCTGCTGCTGCTGCTGTTGTTGTTGTTGTTGTTGTTGTTGCCGTGGTCGTGTCGTGGTGGTGGTGGTGGTGGTGGTCCTGGTGGTGGTGGTCCTGGTGGTGGTGGTCTTGGTGGTGATGGTGATGGTGGTGGTGGTGTTGGGGGTCTTGATGGTCTTGGTGGTGGTGGCGTCGTTGGTGGTGGTGGTCTCGGCGGTGGTCTTGGCGGTGGTCTCGGTGGTGGTCTTGCCGGTGGTCTCGGCAAGGTCTTGATCTTGGTCTCGGTGGTGGTCTTGGCAGTGATCTCGGTGATGGTTTTGGCGGAGGTGATGTTGGTGAATGATATTGGCGGTAATTCGGATTGATTCTTTTTATACATATATAAAGACACATTTATGGATGGGGGTATGATGAATTGGGTTTGCTTGGGTTTGGCTATGTTACATAGTAGTTTTTTATTTCTAGAATGTTTAATGGCATATAACTCTATATTGAATTTGCTTGATGCACAGGCATCTTGGGGCATGTGTTTGGTTAGGGTTTTGCTGGTGCATATATTTGGTTAGGGTTTTATTGGTGCATATATTTGGTTAGGGGGTGCATATATGTGGTTAGTGTTTTATTGGTCCAGGTATTTGGTTAGGGTTTCATTGGTGGGGCTTTGTTGGTGCATATATTTGGCGAAATTTGTTGGGGTATATATATATATAAATTTGCTTAGGATGTTTGGGCTTCGTTGGCAAAATATTTGAATACGGTTTTCTTGGAGAATGTGTTTGATTAGGGTTGTTATCCAGAGAACAAACCTTGCAAGGGAAATAGAGCAGTGTGATGTATTTGTTGGCATTACAAAGAACACAGCTACTGGGTCAGCTGCAGATTGAGGATATGCATTAAGATGTAGATCATATATAGCTTGCAAGATAGGGAGCGCCAGCACGACATGGCTGGAGTTTGTTTCAAATTTCCTGCCA